CTATTTATTAAATTGTATTTTAGTAATTCTTTACTTTTATTATAGAGCTATACAGTGAATCTTAAACAAGTACCTAATAAGCCAACAGTAACCATTAAATATAATCTATTGTTGTTGCTATGGGTTGCTGCACATAATTTCTCTTTATGCTAATTTTATTGTGTAAGCATGACATTTTTACATTCTATATTTAAGGTATTCAAGTTGATTTGTTGCTTTATTGATTATGTTCTTGTAATTCATCATGAGATTTTTTTTTGCAATATAAACTTGCAAAGCATGGTAGTGGTTGGATATATAAAAGGTTTCTACTTGAATTGTTCTTCACTTTCGATATGACAATTTCCCAATACAGTTGTCCCTATAAATAAGAGCTGTTGTGAGGGACCGCCGGACGGCACCACTAGCACTCCACTGGTCAGGTGTGCCCAGAGCGCGGAGTCTAAGCCCCAGGGTACTTGTTCACCAGGGCCCCTGATGGTGGGGATGGACTTGTAGTACCCCGGGACCAGGTCGCCACTACTGAGCACACCTGTCAGTGGTAGGGGTGTTCGCCAGGGGCTCCAACCAGGGAGAGCCAGATGTGAGGAGGTCGGGTGACCCCGATGGGATGGATGGATGGCTGAGCAAGTGCGAAGTCAGACAGGCCGAGTTGGTAACGTAGAGGGCGGTAAGGTACAAGGGAGCGAGCAGAGAATCGTCGGGTCACACGCCAGGTCAGCAACAGTAGGTCAGATCTAATGAGGGCATTCAGGAAGAGAGGTCAGGCAAAGCAAGGGTCTGGGCAGGAGAAATCAGCAGGTCAAGAGCAATCCGGGTCAAATAACTTACAAGGCACAGGTTCAGATTCGCAGGATACAGGTAGGACCAGAAGGCACTGAATGACAGCTCAGGGCCATTTAAATATCCCGCCCTGCGCTGCCATTGGTGCCCAGCGGGCGGCCGCGGCTTCTACTGCGCATGCGCGAACTCGAACGCCGCGGCCGGCCCGGAACTAGTGCCCGTGTCCCTGCACAGGGCGGTGCAGTGCGCCTGCGCCGGGACCATCGCGGCGGGGATCAAGGGGATCCCTGACAGCTGTATTCTTATCCCACTAGCGTCATCCTCTGCATCATTATACTGTGAGTGCAGAGTGTCACGAGGATACCTCCCCTAGGTGGCAGGCTCATGTCAACCTGCCTTCACAGGAATTGGGTTGAATGATATTGGACGTTATTCAGCCCTGGTGACATCTTAGGATGGAAGGGAATTACTGCAGGGGACTGCTAAAGACCTACAGAAATCTCTGGCACATGCTAACATTTTTGTTGACACATCTACAATAAGGAAAACATTAAACAAGAATGGAGTACATGGGAGGACACCACTGAGGAAGCCATTGTTGTCCAAAAAGAATATTGCAGCACGTTTGAAGTTTGCAAAAGAGCACCTGGATGTTTCACAGCACTACTGGCAAAATATACTGTGGACAGATGAAACCAAGATTGAGTTGTTTGGGAAGAACACACAACACTATGTGTGGAGAAAAAAAGGCACAGCACACCAACATCAAAACCTCATCCCCACTGTAAAACATGGCGGAGGGAGCATCATGGTTTGGGGCTGCTTTGCTGCCTCAGGGCCTGGACGGATTGTTGTCATTGATGGGAAAAATGAATTCCAGAGTTTATCAAGACATTTTGCAGGAAAACGTACGACCATCTGTCCGCCAACTGAAGCTCCGCAGAGGATGGGGGATGCAACAGGACAATGACCCAAAGCATACAAGTAATTCAACAAAACAATGGCTGCAACAGCACAGAATACGCCTTCTGGAGTGGCCCAGTCAGAGTCCTGACCTCAACCCGATTGAAATGCTGTGGCATGACCTTAAGAGAGCGATTCACACCAGACATCCCAAGAATATTGCTACACTGAAACAGTTTTGGGAAGAGGAGTGGCTCAAAATGACTCCAGATCGTTGTGCAGGTCTGATCTGCAACTACAGGAAACGTTTGGTTGAGGTTATTGCTGCCAAAGGAGGGTCAACCAGTTATTAAGTCCAAAGGTTCACATACTTTTTCCTCCCTGCACTGTGAATGTTTACATGTTATGTGCAATTAAACCATGGCAACATCTAATGTTTGTGTAGTATTATGTTCAGCAGACTGTGTTCTTCTATTGTTGTGACTTAGATGACATTCAGAGCACATTTTATGCCCAATTCATGCAAAACTCCACTTAATCCCAAGGGGTTCACATACTTTTTCTTGCAACTGTATACCCATAAAAAAATTCAAGGGGGTTAAGTTCTGGTGAGCTTATATAGTGATATATTATACACATACACAAACAACACACACACACACACACACACATACACATATATATATATATATATATATATATAGTATACATAATAGTATAGTAATATTTCTTATGTTTCCAGACGTGAGTGACACCCTGTATATGTACATTCTGTGTTCTAGTAATTGCTATGTTCTACTAAATGCTAGTAATTCAACATAATTAACGTACTTTACCATTCCTTTTGCTTGAAAGCTTGATTCTGCTAAATGGGAATAAAAACAATACAACCTGTTATCTGCAAGTCTAATGTTAAACATTTAGCAAGAAAGCTAATTGTACTTGTGCGGTCTCTAAACAACCAAATGAAGAAAAAATATGATAACAAGTATTGAACAACAAGCATGTACTTATGTAAAACAAATATTGCTTTAAAGCAGTTCTTCAGTCCTTTCTGTGAGAATTAAAAGTCAGCAGCTACTAAAACTGTGGCTGCTGACTTTTAAAAAACAGCCACTCACCTGTCCAGGGCTCCAGCGCCATGCTCACCCAAGTTGTTTTCTTTATGGCTCTTTATTCCCCGGCTCCAGCATCTTAACTGTGTGCACCTGACTGAGGCTGCTTGTGGCTTCACAGCTGGCTGCCCACTGTGCATGCACAAGCCACACTGTGCGTTGTGAATAGTCCTGCAGTCTCTTGGGACCTGTCACATGTCCCAAGAAGCTGAGGGGAGAGGAGGAGGAGGCAATTGTCGTAGAAGTGGGAGCGGGTACCTGTCAAAACTAGACACCCACTCCTCTACCCCCCCAAAAATATGCAACTTTTGATGGGGGGCGTCAATGAGGAGGAACAGCAGAACTTCCCCTTTTGGCTGAAGTTCTGCTTTAACATAAACTTCAAGGTAATAATACTTTTGAAGTAATTTAAAATACACTATAATTTCCCTTTAATGGAAACCTTTCAGAAAAAAATAGGCTGCCATTGCTGACCTTGCATCTAGTTTCCTGTTATACTAACCTTTTAAATCACTGACCCAAAACAAGTTTGCAGATAAAGAAATCTGACTTTATTCTGACTTTTCCCAAATCTGTACTCTTGTTCCAGGTTAATGACTCAGAAAGTATTAAAGCCAAAAGGTCAGTAAAACCAGGCAACTAACATTTTAACCACATGCCGCCCAGCCACTGTAGAAATATGGCAGCAGGGCGGCATGGGCAGGCAAAACCACGTTTTAAAACGTGTGTTTTGTAAACAGGTAGGGGGCGCGGGGGCGCGCCGCCGCCCTACCTGTCCCGCCGATCACAACCGCGGATGTCAGTCGCCGGGTCACAGCCGATCGTTACCAGCTATGTCCCGGCGATCGGCGGCAATAGCTAACAGAGAGCACAGCTGCAGTAGCTGTGCTTTCTGTCAGTTCCCTGACAGCTCCAGGACAAGCTGATCGGGACAGAAGAGTTTCTCTCTCTCGATCAGCAGTGTCCCCTGCAGTACACACACCCCCCCGCCCCCTAGTAAAAACACTCCCCCTCACACAGATAACCCTTCCCTGAAAAATAAAGTTAACCTCCCCAGTGCCATGTCAGTGACCCCAAGTCAGTACCCCCCAATGTCAGAATGTCCGCCACAGTCCTGCCATAAGTCGCTGATCGCCGCCATAAGTCCCTGATCTAAAAACTAAAAATCCCAGTATCTTTCCCACCATTTGTAAACGCTATAACTTTCACGTAAACCAATTAATTTACACGTATTGGGTTTTTTTTTTTCGCAAAGACATGTCGCAGAATGCATTTTGGCAGAAATTTATGACCAAATTTGATTTTAAATTTTTTTTTTTACTGGACATGTTTTATAGCAAAATGTCCAAAATATTGTTTTTTCCCTCAAAATTGTCAGCCTTTTTTTTATAGCGCAAAAAATAAAAACCACACAGGCGATCAAATACCACCGAAAGAAAGCTCAATTTGTGGGAAAAAAAAGGATGTAAATTTCATTTATGTACCGTATTGCATGACCGTGCAATTGTCCGTTAAACTAGCGCAGCGCTGTATAGCAAAAAAATGGCGTAAATTGCAGTATCTATACCATAGTTTGTAGACGCTATAACTTTCACAAAAAGCAATCAATATACACTTATTGGGATTTTTTTTACCATAAACATGTAGCAGAATACATTTTGGCCTAAATTTATAACCAACTTTGAGTTTACTATATATTTTTTATAGCTGAAAGTAAAAAATATTGTTTTTCTTCAAAATTTTTGGCTTTTTTAGTTTATAGCGTGAAAAATAAAAAGCGTACAGGTGATCAAATACCACTGAAAGAAAGCTCTATTTGTGTGAAAAAAAGGACGTAAATTTCGTTTGTGTGCAGCATTGCATGACCGCGCAATTATCATTGAATTAGTGCAGCGCCGAGTAGCAAAAAGAGGCCTGGTCATTATGGGGGTAAATCCTCTGGAGGTCAAGTGGTTAAAATTAAGGTCCGCAATAGTAGATTTCTTAGAAAGAGTTTAAAGTAACGCTGAAGGGACCCATTGGAAATCTTCTACAGTATGTGATAATATGATACATTCAATATACTTACATGGAGGACATATTATGAATGGCTTTATATAATGTATTACAATATTGTGTATGTGGTTGTTACTGTAACCGTTTTTCCCTTGCTCTTGGTGAAATAATTTTAAAGGTCATATCTACTGCATGCCGTTATAGGAAAGAGTGGTTGGCTTCCATGTGCTTTCACCTAATGCTGGAGAGATCACACAAGGATTTGCAGTAGCAATAAAATGTGGCCTTACAAAAGAGCAGCTGGACAGCACGATAGGAATTCATCCAGTATGTGCAGAGGTATGTGTAATCCTCTCCTATCATTGGTATTTGATGTGTTTATTATCAAGCTTAGCTCATGATAAGACCTAGCTACTGAGAACGGCTGCCTGCTGACCATTCATCTTATAGGCAGCCTCATAACCAAGATATATGGTGTTGTAAAACAACAACTGCTGTATATGGACAGTATCTGCCATAGCAATCTAGTTGGGGTGCTGTACCTAGACTGTCATCTTATCCTAATAATTTGTCATATGCATGATTACAGACAAAGCCGTTGAAGGGTCAGTCCATTCAAATGTATAGGTGATGCCTAGAAGCATGGTCCAGTCATTGGATTGTTATTTGTCTTAAATACTCTAATAAATATGTTGTCCTGCCATAATTCTCTTTTTTTAATTTTAGATAAGGCTGGGTAATGATAAAAATCCCTGTTGGGATTTTATATCTAATTGTAAAAAAAGCTAGCATGCCAACAAATCCAATCAAGAAGTTTACTGGGCTTGGTGGCCCTATATATCAAGGTGGCAAGTGGGGACCCCACTTCCCTTGAAACATTGGTGTTTATTTCCTGATATGGAACTCCAGTAAATCTTGGATTTGTTGGTGTGGTGGTTTTCTTTACAGTTGTATTTTATCAGCACCACCCTCTAGCTATGCTCCCAACCCCTACAGAGGGGTATATGATGTCTGTGCTGTATGGTGTAATGAACTTTTGGGTTTTTATTGATGTCTGTCGCCCTACTTTGGAAACTTACTATCTCTGTTTTAAATTGCTGACCAAAGTCAGTGGGACAGAAAGTGATGGGTAATTCAAAAATTTACAGGTGTCACTGGAACTGGAGGTAAAAGAAAATCTTCCAATATCAACTTTGTTTCCAAAGGGACACATGCAGCAAGAACAAAATAGTTTTAACCCTTCCCTTTGGTGTTCAAAACTAAAAGAAAATGTTTAGATACACTTAAAAATGGAACTAAGGTCACTTAAACAAAACGTCTCCAAGTGGAAACATTTTTCATCAGCCTACAAGGGCTCCTGATGATTTTTTGTTTCCATGTACACTGCACACTGCAGAGATGGCAGCAGTGTAGGACACAGTGGTGGCAGGATGCTGGACCCGTTATCGCTGGAGGACAGCACAGTGGGGATGTAAGTAAGTGTGTTATAATGTGCAAGATTGCTGTACGTACTTGCAGATTATGGTGAAAGCTCTACCCTGCCAAAAAAGTTTAGTTCCGCTTTAGGTATTTTAATTTAGGAGAGATCATAAAGTCAGAGCTCCTAGAGCTTTCCATTACATAAGATCAAAACTGATGAATTCTAGCAGCATATTTCCTCATTAGAAGTCTGCTTCTGAGCCTGCTATCTGAAGAAAGAATATTGCTTCCAAATGATAAAATTCACCCATAGAAGAAATTTAAAAAAAGTTAATGCTAGCCAGAGCAATTTGTCGCTTTTATTGACGGCCTTGCTTAAGAAATCTCTCTTAGCCAAGGTCAGAACAGACATCTAATGTGGTGAGTGGCATTGCAGAGCAGTGCCCAGGGCCACAATTTATTAAAAAGTGTTAAAGCTGAGCTCTCTTATTCCCTGCCTATGCTAATGGGAGTTCAGCAGTGCACAAGGTTTTACTTTCCTTCCACCAAATACGGCTTGGATGTCAAATATTTTATACCCATTTTCCAGAACTATAATAATAGTAATAATAATACTGGCACAAATTTAAACCTTTGTGCTAATGACAAAACATGCTCATGATGGAGCAGAACTTCAGTCAAACAGTTAAATACACAACTGCATTACATACAGTATATGTAAACTGTTTTACCTGCCAAAAGACTTGTAATTTTGTGCTGCTGCTTTTTGTATCTTTGACTCCATCGCCTACCATTCACATCTTCTGACTATCGTGCCTGCTCAATTTACCATAAAAAAACACCTTTGCATGGTTCTCTGTGTGCTCCAGCTGTAGGATGGTTAAATACCTCCCCAAGAACCCTTTAGATTGACAGTATCATGCAATATAAAGTATATCTAAAGCCTAAATGGATGCCATTTAGTTTTCTAAAACACTGTGTATAATAAACAAAAGCAATTTTTTTTAGGGGGGGGGGGGGAATACTGTTAGGCCTCATGGGGTGTTTGCCCGTCTCTCCTAGACCTCTTTCCTCCTGGCAACAGCGTAACAGCGTTTTGTTCAGATGATATTAACCATGTCTAGACGCGTTTAGGTGTGTCAAGCTCTTGAGTGTTAATTCATTTTAATTGACAGAATAAATTATTATTTTTGCCAATGAAATGAATTACTGCCCAAGTTTTTGATGCGCCTAACATTAACATGCGTTTATATGTGTTTGCACACATCAACAGTTTTTTTTCTGCTAAAACGCTGCTCATGGATGCGCTGGCAGTGGGGTTTTTTCTGCCTCTAAATGCCCCTGCCTCTTAACTCCTCTAAATGCCTATTTGTGCATGGACACATAGACTAACATGCAGAGGCGTTTAGAGACAGAAAAAAATGCCAGACGCCCTTAACAGCGGCATTAAAAACATCCAGTGTGCATTAGGCATTCTTCTTCTTTTTTTTTTCTTTCTTACTGCAGTGTTGCTGATCTCCTAAAGCCTCTTGACAGCACTTTCTAAATACATGGGCTGCAGTTTTAGCTGCACATCATTGTTCTGGGGGGTTTCCTAGGGGTGATAATTAGAGATGAGCGAATTATTCAAAAATTCGATTCGGCTGATTCGCCGAATTTGCGGAATAAATTTGATTCGATGCGAATTTATTTGCTGCGAATTTAACTTATTAAAAGGGTGTTTCTAGGCTTCAGAGAGCCTTTATATTAGTGCAGAACACTGTACCTTTAATTTAAATGCCCTTGGAGTCTGCTGGGGAAGAGAAATAATACTGTCAGTCAGTATGGCATGCAGATGAGTGCCGTCGATCTTAGAATCACCGCACACTTCACTCATTTGGGCAGTCACGGGGCCAAAACCAGAGTGTGGAGCCACAGTGTGGCGGTGGAGGCAGCAGGAATGGGAGGCCATACAGCACCCTATGACAAAATGGAACCCACCAGCAGTGTGAGGAGACCTGAAAGTGGCACATGGCAGAGTGTGGCGATGGAGACAGCAGCAATGGGAGGCCGTACAGGGACCCATGAGACACTGTGGACCTGGCAGCAGCATGAGGAGGCGGTACAGGGGCCCATGGCAGAGTGGCGAAGCGTAAGCAGCTTAAATTGAAGGCCATACAGAGGCCTATGTTAAAAAGTCCCCCCAGCAGCAGTGTGGGGAGACGACTATCAAGAGTCCAATGGCAGAGTGGCGGAGCAGAAGCAGCTTCAATTGAAGAAGAAGAAGAGGATGAGGAAGATGAAGAAGAAGAGGATGAGGAGGATGAAGAAGAAGAAGAGATGAGGATGATGAAGAAGAAGAAGAGGATGAAGAAGAGGAGAAGAAGGATGGAAGAAGAAGAGATGAAAAGAAGAAGAGGATGAAGAAGAAGAGATGAAGAAGAGGATGAAGAAGAGGAAGAGGATGAAGAAGAGGAAGAGGATGAAGAAGAAGAATTCCAGTACTGCAAAAAGTGTATCTGCAGAGAGCTCCGCTATTTCTGACAGTTCTCTGACAGTTCCTTCACATTTACAGCGGTTGAAACATTGTATCTATTTGTTTCCGAATAAAAACATCTGTATCCTAAATGGAAACAAATAGATACAATGTTTCAACCGCTGTAAATGTGAAGGAACTGTCAGAGAACTGTCAGAAATAGCGGAGCTCTCTGCAGGGACACTTTTTGCCGGCTGTAGAAGGGATGAAAATCGGCCAATCGGGGAAAATTCGATTCGCGCTTCCGAAGTTTGCTAATTTTTGGATTCGGCGCGAATCGAATTTTTCCTAATATTCAAAACGAATTCCACTTTGCCAAGTTCGATTCGCTCATCTCTAGTGATAATGGAGGAACATCCAGCACAATGTGTGCTGGAAATGCTGTTCATAGTCTCTAATCTTGGACTACCTCACGTCAGCACACAATGGATTAACCCACTGTGTGCTGACACGAGGATAGTCCAGGAAAGGAAAATGATGGTAAGTATATAATAACAATTTTCCATATTCCTGGCCTGCCTCAGATCAGCACACAGTGGGTTAACCCATTGTGTGCTGACGTGAGGATAGTCCAGGAATGGAAAATTATGGTAAGTATATGATAACATTTTTCCATATTCCTGGCCTACCTCACGTCATTGTGTGCTGATGCGAGAATAGTCCCGGAAAGGAAAATTACAGTAAGTATATAACAATTTCCATGTTCTTAACACACGGGACAGGGTGGCAATGCAGGAATGCAATAGGGAGGCAGGAACAGAACACTATAAGAAGAAGTGTCAGAACAAGGGCCTTTGTAGCAAGATCAAAAAGTATTATTTTAATGAAAGCTGCAGATTTTAGGTTGAAAACTACTTTTGACATTTAATTGGCATGTTGAAGATGTATAGAGCGACTGAAGATGCTGGATAAACATGTCCCCCTCTGCTGTTCTCCAGTGATGACCCTCCCTGCCTGAAACCAAACTCACCAACACACTTGTGGCCTAAGGTGGGCTTTATTAAAGTAGAATTTTACACTTTAATAAACAAAAGCACTGCATGGAAGTTGAACAACAGAACAGTAACTCCAATATAAACTCACTAATGAATTTAAACCCAAACAAAATTTTAACAAACCTCTAAGAATTAAAAGAGCTCTGCCTAAGCCACTAGCCAGTGGGTCCATAAAAGTCTGCTAACTTTGGGACCCTGATTCTCCTGTGAGGGCACTCAAATGAAGGTGTCAGTAAAGTGCTAGGAAACATCGGGTGACCAAAATGCCTCTCACCACAAATACGGTACTGGTCTCCTGCAGTTCACTATAAGCCTGGACAAAGGATGTGCACACAAAGAGCTCCCCACTCAAGCCAGTATTTGCTGGATTTGAGACCCCCCCCCCCCCCCCCTCTCTGGAGCTCCCAGTCTCTCCATGGTTCAGGTTCCCTGTCTTTTTATGGCTCTGCCCTGTATTCTCTGCCACAGTATCTCCCCTCTGTCAGTCTTTCTCCTCTGGAGCCTCTGGTTCACTCTCAGAAACTCTGAACACCACTCAGCAGCTCTGGACACTGTTCTTTGTGGCTGTGCCCTATATTGATCTACCACAGCCTGGCATCTCTCTGGCTTGGCACAGGCTCACTGCAGTTCCTTGTATCAATTCAGTCCTTTGCACAACAGTTAGCTCACCTATGCTCTCCAACCATCTTGTGGCTCAGCACAGATCCCCCTTCTGCTTGGCCATGCTGGAAGATGAAGTCCATATATGGAGAATGCTATTGCTGACCACCTCTTCAGAAAATGCTAGTTTCCTGGCTGTCATGCTGATCCAGTCCAGTTTTTTCTGAGACACTGACCTTGAAGAAGTTTGCAGATGAAAAGTCCTCACTCTAAATTTCAAATTTTCCATGCTTTTTCCAGGTTGGTAAACATTTTGAGACTGAAGACAGCCAGGCAACTAGTATTTTTAGTAGGTGATCTGCACCGACAGCCACCGTATTTCTTTCAGCTGAGGGTGTTTTTATGTTTGCACAGAATTCTGCTTTAAATTGTCCCTGTCTGTATTTTGACATGAAAATATGTGCATAATTGTTTTGCTATTGAAAGATGCTGTGGCCTTCTGTGAGGCTGCATCAATGAAGAGACATCAAACATGTTTATCTGACAAACTGTACAGTGCACTTGTTCATGCAGTACATTGATGCTCTTACAAAAGACGTTTTTGATACAGCTAATTAAAGCTTTTGAAGAACCATAGGCTGGCACAATGTGATTCCCCTATAATTACTCTGTTACAACTGCAATTTCTCTTTAATTTATACCATGCAGCATGACATATTGCAGTTGTGCTTTCCATATCACAATTTGAGTCACATATATTTTTAACTCAATAAGTGCCTAAAAAAAGAGCAACTGTTTTGTTGCTGTGTTATAGCTAGAAGAATGTCTTACCCCTCTCTAACCAATTTACATAAAGTTACATAGTTGGTACGGTTGAATAAACACACCAGTCAATCCTGTGTTGGGTGTGTGCGTACTCATGTCAAAAGTCATATCCCATTTCCCTGCATATTGTTTTTGCTAAGATGTCCATCAAAGAGTTTTTTGAAACTATCAATACTTCACATTGTCACCTCCAATTGTGGGAGAAGTGAGTTCCAAATCTTATTGATTTGACAGTGAAAAACCCCGTCTTCTTTCTTTTTCTCCCTGCCCCGTGTTTTCTTTTACTCTCTGAGACTGAGTAGTTTATTCCCTATGCTAGAATCACCATTGAGGTATTTGTATATCGCTATCATATCTCTTCTCAAGTGTCTATTCTCCAGAGAGAGTAAGTTTAATGTTTGTAGTTGTTCCTTGTAACCAAGGTCCTCCAGTCCCCTTATTAACTTTGTTGCCCAGGATTGGTGACAGGCACTGGGCGGCATAGTCCAGACGTGGCCAGAGTTTTAAAAAGTGTCAGGATTATATTTTTATGTCTTGAGTATATACCCTTTTTATGCATGCTAATATTCTGTTAGTTTTGCTTGCTGCAGCTTAGCATTGCATGGCTTTGCTGAGTCTGTCATCTGCTAGGACCCTCAGATCTTTTTCCATCCTGGATTCCCCCAGAGGTTATTCCACTAGTGAGTAACTTGTGTTCATATTCTTAGTCCCCAAATGCATTACATTACATTTTCACAGGCATATGTGGGCCAGTGTATCATTTCATGCCTGTACATGTAGTAATTTTGATGGTAGGATTGGATATTGTAGACCTAGACTATCATGCATCAAGCTAGGGGACATCCTAGATGGTTGATGAATATATGATTTGGCAAGCCATGTCATTCTATGTTTTCAGTTTGTGATTGTTGATGATCACTGTTGAATTTCGCTGAATAATTTTGCACACTGGGAGAGAAATTTCCATTTTACGCTGCACACTTTTATAAAGCATTTAACCTTGATTGGTGTTTGACAGTTAAATGCTCCTTAATTGCCTTTTGCCTCAAGAACAAAGGACTTAAACTCAGTGTGGCTTCCTCCAATCATGCAATACGTCTCCCTTTGATTACAAACATGAAAGATGATGAGATTACTTTATAGCTCTCCTTAAAAGGGTCAATGTGTGTAAGAATACCCAAGGTAATTTACATTAAAGGACAGACTGTTCACTAGTCTAATATACATCAACATTATGTTTGCTTTCAGATTTTCACCACCCTTACAGTGACAAAACGCTCTGGGGAAGATCTTGTTCAAGGTGGATGCTGAGGTTAAATTTTGCTGTTTGTTGCTGTTGCCATGGTTAGGAAAGGAAAGCAAGGTCATCACCTGGTAAGAAAATCACTGTGAGGACAGGTCAACAAACAAGGAAGTATGGTGAAGGAAGCTCACAATCTATTGACGGGTAACTAACATAACAGCAAAGTTCCTGGAAATAAGCTGTGGCAGGGCACTGCGCTAGTGCTTAAGTGACGTCACATTCCAAAGCCACCCATGGTGGGATGTGACTGAAGACCTGCAGGATCAGTTTATTGATGTTTACTCTTCTGTTAATTATATTTGTTGTTTTTGTTATTTGTAAATAGTGTGTTATTAATTTTAGGTTTTATAGAATAATTAAATACATATTTATACTATACAGGATCTCAGTATTAATAACAGTAAAATATGTGGATTTGTTCATACAACCAACTCTACATTCATAATAAATGCATAGTTTCCATAGTAGCTGCACAATTCAAAAAAAGGTTTGTGACATACAGTTTCAAGTTAAAGGACCTTGGTATAAAAATATAGAAGGGGCAAGTGCAATGGTATTTAAAGGCATAGATTTATACAGGGTTATCTCACTGACCTAAATATGACATCTGATGGAGTTATAAAAAACTCCTTTTAAAAAACAAGTCCCAAGCATGCTTTGATCTGTGGTAGAACATTTATTTGGGTTATGACAACATGGGTTGGTTGGGAAGACACGATAAACAAAGCTTAAAACACTTTGGTGCTTTCCGTGTGTGAGGAAAACATAGCAACAGCATTACAATAACCAGTACATTAAATACTTTGGCACAATTACCACTACAGCATAAGTGATACAGTACACTAAACTCAACACAGTTTATTTTATTTTAAAAGTTCCCATGAAGAGCACCCATGTAACAGGGTCCAAAAGTTAGTTCTCCACCCCAGGCCCGAGCTACGATCAGTCAAATGGAATGTATACAGAGCTGAAGGGAGTTGGCCAACCTCTACACATCAGTGGCTGGTCCCTAGTTTACAGAAGATCTTATTCACAAAATAGCCTCTGCAATGGGTAATCAATCTGCCTCCCTTCAGTTTGGCATACAATTTACTAGACCGAAAAGAACTAATCAGAGGGCTTACCCAAGGCTTGATATCTCCATTTCAATAAGTATGTTTGTTCTTTGCAAATATTTGCTTTGACAACATTGTTAGATAAAACAAATATTATTGGTTTGAAACAATTCTATTGAATCAAATAAAATTGATAAGCTTTAAAACTAATGTTTTTTATGTCTTATTATTTTACTATTTATATACATTATCAACTTCAGTGGATTTTTGCCACAACACAAACAAGGCGCACAGATGAGAAGCATGCTCTGCATCAAGAATTATATCCTTTCAAATACAAAAGTATTACAATAGATAAGACAAAATAAATACCAAAGTGATTTCAGGAAGTTTAGAACAAATGTACAAAACATATAGTCAAAAGGGATTGATAGGGACATGAACAGGGGAGCATAAAAAGCCAGGGATGTTCAATTTGTAACGGCCGACCCCCAAAACATGTAGTTCCAGGCACCGGGCAGGTAATTTTTTTAAACCTTTAGCCCTACTGCAGGTAAGCAGCAGGGGTCACCTGTCAGGTAAAAGCATTCGGGTGGCAGCGCTACCGCTGATTGCTTCCACACAGCCCACAGCGCCAGCCTCCTCTGCCCCCCCACCCCTTTTACCTCTGTTCTGCCCTCTATGTTTCGCAGGCTCTGCCACCCATCTGTGGGCCCGGGACCAGTTCAGCGGGTTCCAGCGTGTAGAGGGGAGGGAGGAGAGCAGACACATCCTGCTCATCTTGTCTTGACCTGGAAGTGTTGTTATGATATCACTTCTGGGTCCCCGTTGACAGATTTACCAGCCATTGAGACAATTTTTTAAATTGTCAAAAATTAAAGTTACACCCAAGCACATAACCCCCCCCCCCCCCAAAAAAAAAAAAAAAAAGATTTTTAAGCCCCCACCCCTACATATATGCTTGTTCAAACATAAAAGCACACCCCGGGGCACCTACGCATGAAAACGTTGATTGCCAAAAGCAAAGTTACATATTGCCGAGCACACCAGAGTGAGCGCAATAATTCTAGCACCAGACCTCCTCTGTAACACTAAACTGATGACCTATAAGGATCTTTATATACATAACATATAGAAATTATAGGATACTAAAGTTTGTCTCTGAACATATTTGATGTCTCTTTCAAGAGTGCACACAAATTTAAGGTTTGACATGTTGGATATCTATTTACTTGTTGCATCCTCATCTTTTGTGTTTTATCAAAAAATGGGTAATTTATTGCTGTTTTGTACCCTAAAATTAAGTGTATTTTTAAGTGAAATGTTGTGTTTCCTAGACTTTTGTGACATACATTGGAACAACCACTATTTTATTCTCTAGGGTCTCAGCTTTCAGAAAATATATATAATTTTTGGGGGTTTTATGCAATCTTCATTTAAAATTATTTTTTTAAATGTGAGCAAAAAATGCAAAAAGGGCCTTGGCAGCAAAAGGGATAAAGGATAGGCCTGACTCTCATCTGTCCTGATGAGCACCCAATCAGTGCTCATTACACTGCAAAGTTTCTCCCCTCCCTGCAACTCCCCAGGTGTGGTGCTGGAGACAGTCAGGGAGGTGGGGAGGAGATAGACAGCGCAATTTTAAAATTTGAAACGTTTAAGTTGCCATAAGGCCCCTTTTTGTTTTTTAAAAGCCTCAGACATTCCTAAAAGCACCTCAGATTTAAATACAGTTTTGGTTACTAAAAAAAAATTTTTTTTATCTCGACAAGTAGATTTTCATGAGGGACAAGTATACTATGACCTCTATTTTAGTCCATGGACAAGCAGTTTTAGTAAGTTCTAGATTAGAGGAATCAGAGAAAAGACTGAATATAAGAATTAGAAAATGTAATCCAGCACTTTGTTCCTTCTTCCCCGCACCTCCACCAACAGTTTGATATTTACCATGGTACAGATGCCCTACTGGTTTCCAAATACAGAGAGGGTAGGGTGCCCAACATAATCTAGTATTAGATTCTCCAAGGAATAATCCCATATAATAGCAAAATAGAGAAGGTGTATAATTTATAATGTGAGACTTTAAATATGCCTCTGGGAATCACACTTACACAATGTTGAACATAAAACACAAAAACAATATTTATTTCAAATGATGTTGTTTTAATCTTTAGGTTGATTTATCAGCTTAAAGTTTTAAAGGCAGTACATATGAAAAAGAACTCAGTGAATCACAATGATATGGGAAGGTCCCACCAATGTTCCAAGTTCTTGGAAAGGTTTCCACATTTTGCAGGATCACCCGATTCATCAGGACCATATGTTATTTCATGAGACTTATAATTTAATAAAGTGAACGACGGAAAAAAGAGACTGTAAATTATACAATAGACAAATATACAAAACCAAAATGATATTGATAAAGCAAAAAACCTTCAAAAATTCCTATTGTAAGAAAATGGAGGGTGACAGAGAGGAAAAAAAAAAAAAAGATAAAAATGTACCAAATATTCATAAACATTATGCACGTCTTACCTTTGTCTAATTAAAAACAGAGGATCAACCAGAGACATCAGAGGATATATGTCGAAGAGTGCACACCCCGGCCCATGGGAAATACCACAAAGTCCCAAAGATACTATAATTAGTAAATAAATTAGTATAGTATCTTTGGGACTTTGTGGATCTGGGTATTTCCTACAGGCCGGTGGGTGCATTCTTAGGTGCATGTCTCCCTTTTTTTCCAATGGGGATAGTTTTGTATTATTTGGTTTATCAATATCATTTTTTTGTATATTTGTTTATTATATAATTTACACTGCCTCTTTCTTTTTTCTGTAGTTGACTTTATTAAAATATAAATCTTATGCAATATCATACGGTCCTGATGAAGCAGGAGATCCTGTGAAACATGTAGACCTACGAATTATCCAAGAACTCTGGACATCGGTGGGATCATCCCATATTGTGATTCACAGGGTTTTCATATGTACAGACTTTAATCTTTAGGTTGATTTATCAACTTGATGTTTTAAACAACAACATTTGTAATAAAGATTGTGTTTTATGTACAACAACGTGTAAGTGTTGTTCCCAGAGGCATATTTAAAGTCCCACATTATAAATTGTACACGTTCTCTATTTGGCAATTGTACCATCTAGTCAAGATTTTGTAATTCTCTTCTTGGGTTTGACTCACAATGCTGGTTTTAAAGGTCAGAAAGGACTTTTCTCTAATCATCAACATGAAATGAATGGTCCAAATCCTATTCGCACTCTCTGGTATATAAGGTTCAATTTTGAGAAAGTATGGGATAGTAACATATTATTTAGTCAAGAAATCATATAGGTGTGATTCATGATATTTATGCATAAATCTTCAAATGGTTTCAAACCTCTAGAAAGCTGACCTTAGGTATTGAGATGACAGTAGAAGTGCAGAAGTTGTAGATAAGCAAGCCATTAACCCTCACAAGGGAGATCTGCTGCATAATGCTCGGTCAATGGTTTTAGGACAGCCATATTCACAGCTTGCAAAATTGGGGAAGAGTTTGAGAAATGCCATTTAAGAAACCTCTACACTTATGGACTAATCCAAACCTACCTAGGCATCTGGATGATTCAACTCATATTATATATTCACCATTCTCTACCTATGTTTATTTATTTAAAGGAACCCCTTGGACTAAGTGCCAGGTTTTTTTTTAATACTTTTTTTACTTCATTTAAGAAACCTTCAAGAGGGAGTTAAGCAGCCCACAAGTGACAAAACATTATATGTACATATTGTGTAATCTCACATATTCAAAGGAGTGTTTAGCGGGGGTACAGCAGCGATTGTGGAGGTGGACTACGGATCAGGTGAATCTGTAGCTTAGTGTGTGCATCAGAGATCCATTCTGTTATGCAGATATGTACAGCTGACGTGGTAACCTATCATTTACCTAGGATGT